CACAAAGTGATCACATGATGCTGGGAGCCTGCAACTGTCATGAATACATGCCAGTCGCCAAGCATCCGGAATTTGATCACAAGACTGTGGGGATGCTGCCATTGTTGTAAGTGTGGGAAACAGTCATCAGTCATCTATTTCAGTGCTGTTGTAACTTCAGACAGTCAGTAAATGAATGATTGTAAGTCGAGCACTAGCAGATTTATTAATTAATTCTTGCATGTAGTAACTGAGCTGTATGGAGCTGAATTTTAACTAACCTTCTCTTTCTTCAAGCTCGCCCTAAATATCTCTCTCATCTGCTGGGATTTTTTTTTCTTTTAGAACAGAATGGAAAGAGGTTTAGATAGCTTAGGTTTAAAGGGGAATTGGTAAAATTGGTTCCTTCTTTCATGAGCGTCAATCCTCTCAAGATGAAAGCCAAGATCTTAATAGAATATGACTGATGACCAAAGAGTCATCTATCCAGAAGAAAGAAGAGAAACACCCTGGTGGGATGGTGGCCCAGCCTTTGGTACTGAAGACTTATTAAGGCCATTATATTAATGTGGATTTGCCCATCAATTTCACAGAAAGCCAGAGTCCCAAAGATGCTTTTTCAAAAGGCAACTGGACTTCCTTTGTTTTTCCTTGAAGATATTTCGCTTCTCACCCAAGAAGCTTCAGAAGTCAGTCAGAACTGAAGAAGCTTCTTGGATGAGAAGTGAAAGTCTTCAAGGAAAAACAAAGAAAGTCCACTTGCCTTTTGAAAAAGCACCTTTGGGACAACCAGGACCTGGATGACTGAGGATCTCCATAAACAGAAAGCCAGTGTCAAATAATTTGTTTCATCATCTACAGTTTATTATTTTGAGGAAAGTCGAAGAAATTAGAAATATATCTTTGGCAGTTGCTATAGATATCTTGTAACCAGTGAATTTTGGATAAATGGATTGTTTTGTTTTCAGTCACTTTTGTCCAGTGTGAGAATAAAGCCACCTTTTTATAAGATAAGAAAATTGGTGGCAACATTGTATGATAGGATGAAACTGCAATAAACTCCTCTTTGGCATTCTTGTTTCCTTGACTGTTTTACATTTCTCATATACTGGGATTTTGAATAAAAGATTTGTATAATTCATTTGGCAAACCGTCCAGTGTTATTCTTATGAAATTATTTTCCAATATTGCTTTTTCAAATTGTGCTGAAGCAGGTGATATTCAGCACTTGTTATGTACTTTATTTTTCACCTGCATAAATATTTTCTTGAGATAACTTGAAACCCATGATCATGTTAGTTCTTCTTTTCTTCGGTAATTCTATTCCTTGTTTTAGAGGTTATAGCAATAGTACCATTATTACTACAAGCTAGAATTTTTACTTCTGTCCACATGGAATAGAAGAAACATTATAAAATGTAAATTATTTGAATTGTAGCTGTGAAAGTTGGGAGAGGGACACGTATTCTGTGTTTTCTTTGAAAAATGTGGCAAATAAGATAGATTATTTATTTATTATATATCAAATTTAGAAACTGCCGATCTAATTCCCAGAGCAAATCTGTGATACACTTATTTTAAATAGAAACTGTGAAAAGATATTTATTTACTTACATACTAATTTACAAGTTGGCTCCTGTAACCCATCAAAAATTCTCAGGGTTAAAATAACTTTAAAGGGTTTTCTATAACTTTTTCATGACTCTAGTTTTCAGAATCTAGTAACAGCTGCCATCCAGGCAGATTCTCAAAATCCTTGCAAGGATTTCAGAATGACTTATGGAGACAAGCACATAATTGGTGCATGGTTTAATTCTTTTTCGCCTGCCCCCGCCCTCCCCTTTTAGCTCATCTGCTGTCAGCTAGAATATCCAGAGTGGTGTTGCTACAATAAGCCATTCTCAGAGAATGACTAAATGACAGGTGCAAGAGAATCTTGGCAAATGTGTCATGGAAAGAGATTGATGTTCATTCATGATGAGAAGTCTTGTTTATTTTGACGTTTATTTCATCATTCAGCATGCTAGAATAAATATACAATGATCATGAAAGCTAAGCTTCATCATCTTCAATCATACAAGGAAGTCAGAGATAGAGAGAGAGAGAGGGGGAGAGAGAGAGGGAGGGAGGGAAAGGGAGAGAGAGAGAGAGAGAGGAAGAGAGAGAGGGAGGGAGGGAAAGGGAGAGAGAGAGAGAGAGGGAGAGAGAGGGAGAGAGAGAGAGAGAAATGCATGCATGCATCCATCCATCCATACATACATACATTCATTTTGGAATAATTGCTTGCTCGATTCTCAATTCTCTTTATTATTCCCCATAATATTCTTGAAATGTTTTATTTGGATTTTAGAGAGTATGAAGCTGCTCTCATTTAGAAATATAAATATAGAAATTATTGATGCACGTTTGACAGCTGCTTCCACTGGCAACTTGTGTCTTTTTGCAAAGACAAAGAAATATAGATCTCTTCTCCCTACATTATCATCATAAAACAAATCTCTTTTTTTCTCTTTCTCCTTCAAGTGCATTTCTGAGTTTTATTGCTATCTCCTCTTCATATTTAAATTACTTGCCTATATTGGGTCAATCCTGGGTTCCTTAAATATAACAAAAGCAGATATCCTGAGGGAGGAGGAAAGTTATTCAGAGTGAAAATGTTTGTACAGGGATACAGATTTCAGATTTAAAGAGCTTGTACTGGGGAATTGTTCAGAGCTGATATCCATAATTCAGTCCAGTTTTCTGTGTTTTATCTGCGTGCATATCACCATGTTCTATTTTCAAGTGCCCCAAAAGGCCAGAATCATCTAAACATGTGTACTTCCCTTATCTTTTCAAGAGAGCATATAAACTTCTCTTATGTTGCTCTATGATCAGAATTATTAAGTATTTGGTTCAGATTCTCAGTGGACATAATTTCATCAAACGTTTACTGAAAATCTTTGCCATATTCTTTTGAAGCTTGCAGTTGACAACTAGAGACACCCCCCCTTTTTTATGAGTGCCTTGTTACTTGTTTTGTGGCCCTAATATATATATATATATATATATATGTCTTAATTGTTTTTATGATAGAAAATCCTCGAATTCTGGGAAGGATATAAACCAGCTGTTTATTGTTAAAAAACTTAAACAATAAAAACAACTATTTACAATACTAAAAACAACCTAAGCTTTCGCTGGGCCACTGCCAGCGTCATTAGAGTGAGTGTCAGGGGGTTGGGGAGTTTTCTTATAAACCTTGCTAACTCAGTTTCTTGCCCATTGACTGTGTGATAGGGCCATCTGTCCTTATTGACTGTAATTGCCTCAGTTGTCCTGCCCCCCCATTTGCATTCCATTTTCACAGCCTACTTTCTTTCCATTGTTTCTTTTTCCACTCTTCCCATCCTTGTCAATCCCATCTTTCCTAATGTTGTTGCTGTTGGTGTATTTTCTGACTGCCCCCTCCACAATCATTCTGGGCCACACATCTGGGTCCGGTATTGTAGGTGCCTTTCCACTGCTGCTTCCCCCATTTTTCCCATTTATCCACCTGCAGTTCTTGCCCTCTGCTGCTTATCCCTATTGACCCTGTTCCCTCCGGTTTCCCTTTGTGTTTAGGCGCACGCACGCACGGTAGCCTCCTGTCCCACTGTCTCATCCACATTCGATCAGCTGGGGTGACTGCTGGGTCACTCCCAGGTTCACTCCATCGTCTGCGCCCAGCAGATGGCTCTCCATGTGCAGGCGTGCACGTGTTCTCCCTCCCTGTCTTGTCCATATCTAATCAGCTGGTGTTCCTACAGGAGTATATATACAACCTCAATTATGGAGTTTGAGGACTTTAAAAGTCTCATTTAAAATATTAGCTATCTAACTATTTCACTGTAATGAGTTAATTGTATAATGCTTTGAAGACTCTAGGAAGTCTGAAAATGAAATAATAGATGTTCTGAATTTGAACTTTTTTAATATGACTTGTAAGACAAGGGTCCCCAACCCCCGGTCTGTGGACTGGCACCAGTCCCCGGCATGCCAGAAGCCAGTCCGCGCAAAAAAGCAAAGCCCCATCAGCAGGATGCAGGCAGTACATGATAGCATGCCCCCTCTGGTCTGCGGAAAATCTCTCTTCACAGAACCAGTCCCTGGTGCCCCAAAGGTTGGGGACCTCTGTTGTAGGAGATTTCAAAAATATGGTTTTGCATCTTATAAATGTGATTACTGGCAAGTTAAGGGAGTTGAAATATGTCCTCTCTTATTTTGCAAAGATATTCTGATCCACACATGACAATATTTCAGTAAGATCAGACCCTAATATAGTATCATGTATTGAAGGTCTCTTGTAATTTATTGTTATATAGTGACGTCTATTGTTTTGTATTGCTATGCCTCCATGGGTTTATAATCATTGGAAATTTTAACACAGCACACTACCTGAGCAAAATGGTTCGGCTGAGATCGGCATATGTGAGACTGATTGGGGTAGATTATAGGGGCGATAGTGAAATATAATTTTATCATATTTTATCTATCTACATCTTAAAATTGCCATATTTGATTCAAATTTCATTTTAAAAATGTATTTTATCCTAATTTCATTTTAAATTGTATTTTATTTCTATTTTATTCTAAATTATATTTTAACTAATTCCATTCTAAATTGTTTTTACTGCATTTTAGTATAACTTGTGTTTGGAACTCTGCACTTTGATATGGCCCATGGGCTAATCAATAAAGATGATGATGATGATGATGATGATCATCATCATCATCGGAAATTAATAATATATGGATGATGAGCTAATGCCCTCTCTGCACTCTTAGAAAGTTTCAGCAGTTGGCCCAAAGAAAGTGGTGGTGATTGAATCCCTATTAAGTAGGAGGATGTACATTGCACACACCTGCCATTTGTCAACACAAAGGAAAAGATGTATGAACTGATGAACATTTGTTCCTCCCTATCTTGTTCTTCATAGTGATACTAATGATCTTTATTTTGATCAAAGTATTTTATGTTGGCTTCTTCTTTTTTTTTTTAGGTGAGGATGTAGCTGATGATTTTTGTGCTGATTCTCCATCACCTTCTAAAACAACAACTTGTGAAGTACCCTGTGGAATGGATTGTGTTGTGACGGAGTGGTCACAATGGTCACCTTGTTCTCACTCCTGTTCCAATAAAAATTCAGAGGGCAGGCAAAGCAGAACAACATCTGTACTGGCATTACCAGGAGAAGGTAAACAGTGGTTTTTTTTAAGCTTATTCGTTCGTTTCCGAATAGAATTCCTCTCAAGTACCAAAGCTGGCATAGTGCTTGGGAATCTTTGTCTATCAGAAGATCCTGTATATGCTAAAGTTTTATTCCAATGATTTCCAAACATGTAGATCACAGACTTCAGATCACCACTGACTTGAGAAAATGTATTTGTCTTTAGGATGCTGTGGGAGTCAATATATGAGGTGAATAAAATAATAGAAATCTTTTTTTGATAGTGTTAGGTTTTCAACATAGAGTTACATCTAATTTTTTTTTTAGTATGACAGTTTGTTTCTCTTTCTAAAGTCTTTAGAGTTTTATACTAGGGACTGTCATACTTGTCAGAAACCACAATCAATAATCGTTATGAACATAGATGGCTGGAATTATCAGGTGTAAATTTTTAAAATGTAAAATGGTGTGCATGTGTGTGTGTGTGTGTGTGTGTATGTGTGTATAGAGAGAAAGAGACAAAGAGACAAAGAGAGTCTGAATAAAGAATAGTCTTCAGGGGATTTGACTTTTCAAGGTTGTGTTCTGTTTCACATTCCAATTCAATGCCTTCCCAAGTGAATTGTTATCATTTTTTTAACAGTTATTATTAACTTACAACTTGGGGAAAAATTAAACCTACAAAGTTATATACAAATATCTACTAATTGATTATGACATTAAATTGCAGATGGTAACTCTGCAATCATGATATAATGAAGTTTTTAATATATCCAAATATTGTATGTATTTATTAGATTTTTTTAAATCTCACCTTTATTACTTTTTATAACTAGCTCAAGGCGGCAAACATATACAATACTTCTTCCTCCTCCTATCTCCCCATAACAGCAACCCTGTTATATATAAATGACAATGTGTGTTACAGGTAATGAAAACAACAACATGTCCCTACATCCAGGAAAGTGAAAAATTAATCTGGATATTTTCATGTTAACATGAAATGTATTTTCCTGCATATACCTAAATTCTACTTAATTTTTACCAAGTTAATGGATCTCAGAGAAACTAAGTCAAAGTGCTAAAATGTATTCATCTGGTTTTTATTTATAAAATAAGTTAACTGTGTTTAAAATTTACAGGAGTTAATTAAAAACAGAAGATGTGTCATTTCTGTTACTCATGGAATTGATCCATGAGAAGAATATTGCACAACACATAAAAATGAAGAAGAAAATGGGGTTCTAAAAAATAACCTACTCACATACTGTATATTAATATATGCAAATTCAATATATTTACATATATTAAATCATCCTATTTGTAAGGTCCTTCGGAGCAGATTTTGAAAGCCTGCATGAATGCGCACGTGGAATAATTTTACTGAATAAGCTGAATATCGTTTTTTTAAAGAAAGTAACTAAAATTAATGAAAATATCATACATTTCCTGTTCAGTGAATCAATGTATGCACAGCAACAGGCTAGAATAAATGGTTAATCATTACATTAATTTAGGGTCATTCTCTATATTGACTCTTAACACCCATATATGATTTGTCTTTAGCTTGACCTTTAGTTCTCTCAGTGCTTCATTCATTGCTGTCATAACTAAGTCCATCCATCTTGCTGCTAATCATCCTCTTCTGTTTACTTCAACTTTTCTGTCAGTATGGATTCCTCAAAGGAGTTGGGTCAGGACATAATGTGCATAAAGTGCAATAGTTTGGATCTGATCATTTGTATCATAAGTGAAAATTCTGGATTGATTTGTTCTATGATCCATTTATTTGTTTGCTTGGCTATCCATCATCTCAAGCATTATATAATATTAGGTAGAGACAATCACCCTAGTTACTAGCTGTACTTCAAAGACAATTTAATCCATAAAGGTGGTATAGGAGATGTCAGAGCTAGATGTCACTTAATTGTAAATACAGTAACTAATTTTACCCAGTTAATGGATCTCAGAGAAACTAAGTCAAAGTGCTAAAATTTATTCATCTGGTTTTTATTTATAAAATAAGTTAACTGTGTTTAAAATTTACAGGAGTTAATTAAAAACAAAAGATGTGTCATTTCTGTTACTCATGGAATTGATCCATGAGAAGAATATTGCACAACACATAAAAATGAAGAAGAAAATGGGGTTCTAAAAAATAATCTACTCACATACTGTATATTAATATATGCAAATTCAATATATTTACATATATTAAATCATCCTATTTGTAAGGTCCTTCGGAGCAGATTTTGAAGCCTGCATGAATGCACACGTGGAATAATTTGTACTGAATAAGCTGAATATCGTTTTTAAAGAAAGCAACTAAAATTAATAAAAATATCATACATTTCCTGTTCAGTGAATCAATGTATGCACAGCAACAGGCTAGAATAAATGGTTAATCATTACATTAATTTAGGGACATTCTCTATATTGACTCTTAATACCCATATATGATTTGTCTTTAGCTTGACCTTTAGTTCTCTCAGTGCTTCATTCATTGCTGTCATAATTAAGTCCATCCATCTTGCTGCTAATCATCCTCTTCTCTTTACTTCAACTTTTCTGTCAGTATGGATTCCTCAAAGGAGTTGCGTCAGGACATAATGTGCATAAAGTGCAATAGTTTGGATCTGATCATTTGTATCATAAGTGAAAATTCTGGATTGATTTGTTCTATGATCCATTTATTTGTTCGCTTGGCTATCCATCATCTCAAGCATTATGTAATATTAAGTAGAGACAATCACCCTAGTTATTAGCTGTACTTGAAAGACAATTTAATCCATAAAGGTGGTATAGGAGATGTCAGAGCTAGATGTCACTTAAAGAATTGTAAATACAGTAACTATATAATTTTTCATATAATAAGAAAACAACATTAATCATATAATTCCTGTGGAATGAAGGTTCATCAGCTGTATAGAAATCCTTCAATACATACAGGAAGCTGTACACCAAAGATAACCTCATCTACATATAAAAAGTAGAATGAAGTGGCTTGGGCTTGCATGTTTAAGTCCTCTGCTCCCTGGATGTGGATAGACTATCCCAAATTTGGATTCATCCCCTCAGGCTGCTTATTGCATCCCAATTATCCTGGCTTCAATTATCCTGACTTCACAGTGGAGCATCCATCTCATAGGTGGTCTGCATCAGAGGTAGCAGTTGTCCTGGAAAAATGGAAGGAGACCTTACTCCAGACCAATCCATACAGTGTGGAGGAGATTTAATCTAAAGTAATCAAGGGTGGCTTGTTATACCGGTAGTTGGCCTATGAGATTGTCCCCTGTGGCCAGTCCTTGGGTTGGTGGCAGTTCCAGTTTCCGCAGAAGAACCTTTGATTTTTCCTTTCGAAAGGAGCAGGTCAACTGGTCAGCCAGAAAGGGGGAAATGCTAAAATTGACTAGAACATTCCTGACTTAATACACGTTTAACTCTCCCTTTATCTTTTATGTGACTGGGAATTCCCTTTCCAGGGGCTATTCCTTTGGGGGACGCTCTGAGTCAGCCCATATGATGTAGACCAGACAAAGAAACAGATACCAGGTGTGCCTAAAACTGCTTTTATTAACATTGGCTAAATAATAAGTTTAAACATCCTTCTCCTCTTCTCTCTTTTATCTACACATTAATCTGGATAGGAAGTATCTGAAATGCTTCTTGGCCCTTCCCCTTCATCTGCCTTTTTTCTCCTAGTTGCCTTACAATGGATGCTCCCTCTCTCCATCAAAGTCATCCTTTCACTCTTTACACTTTAACTGTTCACCTCTCCTCAGGAAATATTCTTTGAAGTCATTTATTCTATCCTCGAATGTAACCTGCTTCCTCAACACAGAGCTCTTCAACAGCACTTCTCCAGCAGATGCCTCTCAGCTTCAGAAATTCAAATACCCAGTAAACGAGAGAAAAACTATGTTTTCTCCCTCAAGTGGTCAGTAGATCAAGAGGCAGGAGATAGTAAGTAAATATACATGAGCGATAAACAACAATAACAACAAGCATACAGCTTTCTCACATACCCAACTCCTCGTTTGAATTCCTAATCCATTAAAACTTATTCAGCAGCTGCATCTGGGTTGCCCATCTCCAGATAATCACTACCTGGATGAGTGATGAGCTCTTTGCTGTCATCTAGTAGTTTTCAATTGATAGTGGTAGGTTAACATTCCTTTAGAAAAGGGAGGGAGGGAGGGAGGGAGGGACTGAATGCTCTGACTTTATAGAGTGGAGGGGTCCAAATACCACTCTAGCACATATCTGGAGATTGACACTTTTAAAATAAAGAAAACATGCCAATGACTTTCCAGTGCCACATGAAGGACCTGTACAAACTACAACATAGCATGGTCCTGTTCCATGGAACTTTAAGGGCAAGTTGTGGGGCAGTGCAATTTATACCATGGTGATTCCCTCCTGGCTCTAAGAAGAGAGGAAAGCATGGGAAAGCAGCCCTGGAGATGAGCCTTGGAGGTACACAACAATGTTCCTTCCCTCAAATGGAAGAATTGTGGTTTAGTCAAGTTGACTTTCACTCTGGATTAAGAAATACAAGAAACTATCTTGTTTTGATATTGTGATCCTTCAGATTTGCCTGTGTGAATTTTAAGCATCAGTTTCTTTAGCCCAAACCAATTTTTAGACTCAATCTGCATCTTCATTGTAGTTTATCATCGTTAATGCATAAAGGGGAAATATTAAAAAAAATATTTTCCTATTTACCCGGAAATGTAATGATAACGATGATGATTTTATTTCTAAGCTTTATGTTCCCTTCAGTCTTATTTTATAGTTTTTTACAGCAATAATCTGATTAAATTATTTGATTATTATCTGGAGTAAAATATCACTGTTTAAGAATAGTTTAGTTTTATAGTAATCAGTGGCCTCCAATCTCCATTTAGACAGTATGTTTCACCAAATGTTTGAACAGATATTGCACTACTTCAGCCTTAGGAAGTGATGTGCTTCTGCAATGTCCTCCTTATCTTTCAAAAAAAACATTTGATGTTTTGGAAAGAGATAATTATTTACTAAGGAAGTCAATATCAATAACCTCTATTGTTATCAAAATTGTCTCTGATTGGCTCTGTTTTTTTTATTATTAAAAGCACTCTATATTTCCCTTATGGATAAAGATTCAGCAAAAATTCCATGAGTATTCAATAACGGTAAAAGCTTATAGACTCTTAACTATGCTGTAAAAAGTTTTTTGTTAAACTGGCTGCCTTGAATGAGACCCAGGAGGGACTAAGGGCAGGGAAGGGGCAAATACCTCAAAACACTGGACTTAAAAATGGACACACACACTTGTCCTTCACATCTGCTTCTAATTCCATGCTATTCTTCTCCCACTATCTGCACATAAGTAGCATTTGCAAGCATCCATGCAGAAGATGACTGGTTATTCTTCCCTTACCCCTACCATTATTTTGTTTTCATACACACACACACACACACACACACACACACAGAGAGAGAGAGAGAGAGAGAGAGAGAGAGAGAGAGAGAGAGAGAGAGAGAGAGAGAGAGAGAACTCGTTTTCCAAATTCCCATAAACATTTCCCTTGGTGGCCATGTTTTCTAAATGGCAGCTGGGAGAATTGAAAGCAGAAAGCACTAGAAATCCACCAGGACTTTCTAACTTGCTTAGCAGCACAGACAGATTGTAGCGAGTCCATCCGTCTCTCTTCGCTTTTTATGGGGCAGACATACTTGCATGTCCCCAAGAGGTCTATTTAATTGTCAAGGAGGCATCTCGTGTAAATATACTTAAGCATGAAGTCCCACAGAGCTACAAGTGAATTGCCATCAAGGGAGAAGAGACAATTTACAGACCTTTTGACTGATTTCACATGACAAGCAATATTTCTTTCAGTAGGATTGTGAATTTCTAGATAGAGCGTTTTTAAAAAAAAAAAAAAAAAAAAAAAGTCCTGAAATTGCCAGGTAGGCATTGAAATGTCTTTGGAACATACAACAATGGAACTAACGTGAGACTCTCTGTCAGAAGATTGACATTCAACTGAAAGTGGACCTTGCAACATGAGAATGACTCTAGACATTCCAGTAAATCATCAAGGAATAGCTGGGGGGGGGAGACATAGAAGCAGTGGTGGGATTCAGATATGTGAACAACTGGTTCTCTGTGTGGATGCCACTTCCAAAAGTCCATTCTGGGCCTGGGCAATAAAAAATTAGCTACCGGTTCTGCCGAACTGGTGCAAACTGGCTGAACCCACCACTGCATAGAGGTTCTAGAATGGCCAAGTCAAATTTCATTTTCAAATCTTTTTGAGATGCTGTGTGGTGATTTGAAATGGCTGTACATGCAAAACCTCTCAAACATTACAGGGCCAAACAACAACAACAACAACCCCAATATGGAACAATGGGGGAAAAATATTCCCAGCTGATGTCATAGACTAGTATACAGATATTTTAAAAGCCTGCTTGAGGTTATTTCTGCCAAGGGGGGCAATAGCAGATATTTTATCCAAGAATGGATTTGTTTTTTGCACTGAAGGAAATGGGATATCTGTTAATTTTTTGTTGAATAAATAATTGCCAATTTTCAGAATTGAGGCCTTTGAACTATGGTGCTGGAGAAAACTCCTGTGAGTCCCTTGGACTGCAAGGTGTTCAAACCGGTCAGTCCTAGAAAAGATCAACCCCGACTGCTCTTTAGAAGGTTAGATCCTGAAGTTGAAACTCAAATACTTTGGCCACCTAATGAAAAGGAAGGATTCACTGGAGGAGAGCCTAATGCTGGGAACGATTGAGGGCAATAGAAGAAGGGGACGACAGAGAATGATGGAGGATGGTTGGATGGAGTCACTGAAGCAGTAGTCGTGAGCTTAAATGGACTCCAGAAGATGGTAGAGGACAGGAAGGCCCGGAGGAACGTTGTCCATGGGGTCGCGATGGGTCGGACACGACTTCGCAGCTAACAACAACAACAATTTTCATATTTTTTTTTTGCTTAATGCCATACCATTTGAATGAAGATAAAATATTGAAATGTGTCAGGCATGAAAGACTAGGATCGCACATGAAGTTCCAATCCAACTGATTTATTATTGCATGCCTATGCACAGAAATCTATTCAACTAGCGGTTAGCACTATTTTGAGACTAGATAAAGATAAATGGAGTTCAAGAGGGTTTGGATTTGGTCCATTTATGGCTACATGGTGACTTTAGGCTGATTTCTGTTTTGACTCCATCCTCAGACTCTGCCACTGCTTCTCCTACAAAATGTCCAGACATGTAAAATAATAATAATAATAATAAAGTTTGCATGGGATGTACTGACTTTTTTCACGTGGCTGTAGAAGTAGGCTAAAGATAGATATTACCTGCAAGTAATATCAATTGTTCTAAATGCTGAGCTTTGGTCCAGGGAAAAGCAGCATAGCCACATTGTTGGATATTGATGTGTTGGTTAAAACCTTAACCTTCCAAATAATTGTAAAATTCAAGTTCTATATTTGTACGTTGAAAATATTAATTTCACATTTACAAGAGGCAGGTTTGCTTTTCTTTTTGTGCCAGTGCTCTACTGCAGGTAATCCTTGACTTATGACCACAACTGAGCCCAACATTTCTTTTGCTAAGTGAGACAATTGTTAAGTGAATTTTGCCCCATTTCACAACCTTTCTTGCCACAGTTGCCTAGTGAATCACTGCAAGTCTTTAAGATAGTAACCCGGTTGTTAAGTGAATCTGGCTTCCCCCATTGATTTTGCTTATCAGAAGATCGCAAAAGAGGATCATATGACCCTGGGACATTGCAACCGTCATAAATGTGAGTCGGTTGCCAAGTGTTTGCATTTTGGTCATGTGACCATGGGGATGCTGCAATGGTTGTAAGTGTGAAAAACAGTCATAAGTTACTTTTTCTGGTGCCATTGTAGCTTTGAACGGTCACTGAATGAACTGTTGTAAGTCGAGGACTACCTGTATTAGTGTTTTCTCTCTTGATTTTTTTTTCTTAAACTAACAAGACCTGGAGTCTTAAAAAGTTTGAAGATACCCATTTTAAGATATGGCTAATACATTTAAAGATTCCTCTTTTTGTTTGATTGACTGCTACAATGTGCACGACTTGGAACTTTGTTTATTGCAGGCAGGGTATTGTCTTGAACAGTGGCATTATCTTTGAACTGATTGTTACAGTTTGTGTTGCTTTTATCACACACAGGTGGAAAGCCTTGTCCTCCTCCTTCATCACTCCAGGAGTATCGACTGTGTAATGAACATTCTTGCAATCAGCTATACTGGGAAACCTCTGCATGGAGTCTCTGTTCAGAAAATGCCTTACTAACAACTCTGAATACTACTACCAGTTGGAACAACAAGGCAACCTGTGGAGTTGGAGTACAAACTAGGAGGGTCTTTTGTGTGAAAAATAACTCTGGCCAGGTCCCAGCTAAAAGGTACACAGTATAGTTATAATATTTGGTTTATTCTCCTCTGAATACTCTCATACTTCTAGTTCTATTCAAATTGGAGAAGACCATTGTAGCATTGTGCACTTAGCAAGATGGTGGACATCATTACCATATAACTCTTCTCATTCTTTCTCTAGTGAATCCATGCTTCCATTTCTAAGAGATGAGCAGAACTGCATTAAAGTGGTCGACAGGCAGTCAAATAGACAGAATGGTCTCTTCCATGCAAAGCATAAAATAGAAATTCAGGAGTGACTTAAATGTATGGAAATTGTCCTGGCATAGCTGCCATTTGCAGGAGCTATGAGTCCTGGAGGACCCCCAAGTTGTGCATAATTTCTGAGTTGGGGTATAAAACCCTATTCAGAGACAAAAGTAGTGCTCCCCTGGAATTGTTTGGCCCAAAGATGCAGTCTGTTCCTCTTCGTCTGGACTTAATTTCAGGTGTTAAGATTTCTGCTCACCTCCAACCTCAAGTTTCACTCTGAGAGAAGCTCCCATATCAGAAACAAAAATACTTGTGTGAGTAGTGCAGGGTTTGTAACTAAGTGTTATTTTAAACTGCTATGGGCAAAGTTTCTGGGCACATGAGGCCAAATTTTACTGAGCATCTTTACCAAATGATTCTAGGAAAATGCTTTCAAAATGGATTCTGTTTCCTTTAAGGTAAATTTGTTAGGAAAGTGTAGATTTTGAAAAATACTTTGCAAGAAGTATTTTAGACCTTAGGTGAATAAAGGCCCTCTCTGCTATTTTCTGGAACAGCCCCCAAAAGATATTGAAAGAGTCACATTAACTTTAATGAGGATGAGTCCTTAAAGCAACACCAGCATCTCTCTCTCTTTTTTTTTTTTTTCAGGATCACAAACACGCTTGTAAAAAAAAATAGCTTATTATTTTATGGAATAATAGGAAGGGGCTGTGTACACCTGAGGTCTGAAGTACTTTTTTCAAATCATATTTCAATTGTTCATAGCTCCTACAACCCAACCTCAGGTAAAAAAAAAAGATGCTGAATAACTACTACAGTACACCATTAGGTTTGATTGAAATTATATGAAAAACAATTGCAGCTGACCTAATCTGCTTGGCTTTAGTAACTGAGAGAAATACAGATGTTTCTGCATTTTTTCTCCCAAATCAAGACATTGTTAATTACTTTTGTGCTCTGTTAATGAGTCTAGAGAATTACAAACTAGTTTTTAATTCTTATTGCATCTTTCTATCTCTCTCTCTCTCTCTCAAAAAAAAAAAAAAAAAAACAAACCTCCTGAAAATGAGCAGGCTGTGTTGACTCTTGTACTGTTAATTAAAATGCTTTAAGATAATGAGACTAATTGATAAGAAAAAAACTCCCCTGTTCCTTCAGAAGAAAAAGCTTCATCAGCTTTTGTTTTTGTTCTCTATTCCATCATACATTGTTTAACACATAATTGGGTCTTTACTCTTATATAGAAGTCTAATGACATGGATATATTGCTGAAGCAAATGCAAGAATATTGTGATTGGCTTGGAATATCAGAAGAAGATGTGATCAGAAACAATAGTGAAAGAACATCTTCATCTCACATAATGTTAATTTAATGCCCATAGCCACAGAGATTCTGAAATTGGTACTTCTAATTTTTCAGTAGAAAAAATGATCTATTTTTTGGTCACTTCAGGGCGCATTTAGCCATACATGTCTCAGTGAATGTGAAGATCTGAAGAAAGCTTGTGCTAACATCTCTTGCCAGCCCTGGCTTCTTAGTCAACATAATCCAATTGATAATATTTTTCTCATTGACTTTGGAGTCTATTTTTCAGAAGAACAAGGGTGTCAATATTGAAAATTATTTAAGATCCTACTTTCTTCTGGACCTGGTAGTCATATTATCCAAACTCAGAAGAAGCCAGTTCAGATAAAATTAAAACCTGGGATTTATTTGGAAACTTCAAGTATTAACCACAACAAATGAAGAGAGTCTATAAGGGAGGCAGATAGATATATACATGTACATGCATACATATGTGAAGCTGATGGTGTGGCTTGATTATTAAAGAGGGTTAGCTTTGTCAGCTGTGGAAATAATAAATATAGTAAAGGGGAAATATTAAGCTAGGAAGGGTATTATGGGTTATTGATTGTAATGTGGGAAAAATAAATATTGGATGGAAATTTTTTTCAGATTTGTAATCACTTTGTTTTGTTGCATTGAGAGATTATTGGTAAAACTACTATTTATCTATCTGCAAAACAGCTCTGAGATAACAAAATTGAGGAGTCCTTGTTGCTGTCTCAGCTTGGTTGTTTTCTTGCAGACCAAGTTGCATTGCACATTAGGTAACATCTGCTAGAAGGGAGTGGAGTTAGCTCTCTGTTTATATATAGTGGCTTACCCTGCCAGTGTTGGTGGGAGTGTTTTTTTCTTCTTGGTAGTTCCTTGATTAAATTATGGTTCACTGTTTGATTGTTTGCATGAGTTAGTAGCTCTTAGATGGAGCTATTGCTTATTGCTTGATTATTGGTCTGGTATTAATCTTGGTGATAGTCCCTGTTTATCTGATTGTTAACTGCTGGTGAGGAGCTGTTCTGGTTATTTTTTTTTTCTTTTTAGGTTTTCATTGTTTCTCTTGGGGTGTAAATGTTGTCTATCACTATTCTTCTTAGAAGTTTAGCATTTAGACAAATCAACCCATCAACAGGCACATAGGTGACAACATTCCACTTACACTGACAGGGCATGCCACTATATTTAAACAGAGAGCAAAGCCCATTTCCTTCTAGCACTGATGATGTTACCTAGTTGGGTAATGAAACTTTGCAAGAAAACAACCAAGAGAGTTCCAAGGACTCCACACTTCAACCTTGAGCTACAAATGTTCTCTTCTGTTGGTATAACAAAACTTACTCTATTCAGAAGATCCAATCCAACAATAGTCCTCCTTTGGGTTGGAGTTTGTTGTTGTTGCTGTTGATGGCATAAACCACTTTTATCAGTGCCCCTAGTTTTACACATTGTGTATTTGTTTGGTTGTTAGATTTAAATCCTGCCCTTTATATAAGAGCGCAAGCTGGCATATAGTATGCTTCCTACTTTTTTTTACAAAACAGCTTTGTGAAGTAGGCTGAGCTGAGAGGAAGGGAATGGCCAGGGATCTTCAAACTTGGCCCTTTTATGACTTGTGGACTTCAGCTCCCAGAATTCCTCAGCTAGGCATGCTGGCTAAAGTCACCATGGACTTCTATGACTGAGAATAAACTAGAACCTGAATCTTCCCAAAGCCAGTCCTATACATTGTCTACTACAGCAGGGGTCTGCAACCTTGACAACTTTAAGACTTGTGGACTTCAGCTCCCAGAATTCCTCAGCCAGCTATGCTGGCTGAGGATTTCTGGGAGCTGAAGTCCACAAGTCTTAAAGTTGTCAAGGTTGCAGACCCCTGTACTACAGAGCATTGTACCATGATACCAGAGAGGAGTTCACATTACATGAGCAAACCATCCATTCTTTGGACAAGGAAAATCATGCAAATCATGATCATGTGCAAAAATGTGATTTATATAGCAAAAAAAATTAATATTCTTTACGGGTTTTTTTTCTCCCAACTAAAGTATGATTTGCTCTAGGATGCAGTGTCCTGTCTTCTTTTCTAAGCTTTATGTTCTATACTTCTTGTAACTCATTTAGTTTAAGTTGCTAGATGTGGGTGGGATTTGCTGTCTGAATGAATTTGTGAATCACAATAACAAAAAGAAAAAAATAGTATGTGACTAGACCTGTTTATTGTCTATTTATGAAAATTTAAACATTTGGTGTTGTTTTAAGAGCTGCTGTGGAAATGATTAAGCATAGGATAACTTCAAGGAGATCTGTGTATCTACATAAATATTCAATTTACCTTAGAGTGCAATCTATGAAGTGAGGATTTTTCCTTCTTTTTATTTGAAGGAAATGGGAGCTAAATACATTTTCCATTGTATAGGCTTCCACGTTGATAGAAAAATGAATAATAAATTTGAAAGAGATTAAAAAAAAACACTGACAAAAAGGCATTATATACAGAGAATCCATCAGAGAACAATATGCAAACTTATGAAAACAATGCATTTCACGGTGCTCTTCGATTAACTTAACAAAAGCTTGACATTATTAAATTGGCACACAATTATAGTCGTATGATTTATGTTTGGCTCCTACCAAATTTTTGACTGTTGATTGAAACAAAATATACTCCATTGTATTCTAGTTCCTACCATAAAGGCTGTCAGAGATTAATGTCCTAGTTACTTGGATGGTTTTATTTTATTTATGCTATTTATCTATTGCTCTACCCCAAGTAGGCACCAGACAGTACACATATACTAAAACTGAAACAATTCCATCAGCATTGTTATCCTAAGAATACAACAACTAAAATCAATGCCAGTGCATATTAATTGATTTTTAAAGACTCTCATGAATGACCAAGTTTTCATAAGCCATTGTAAAGTCTTGAGGGTAGGAGTCATCCTCACATTGGAGACAAGCTGTTTTAAGGAAAAAGAGCTGTCTCAATGAACTCTGCCACTGTGCCACTTGCCCATACATCACCTGATAGGGGGACATCCCCTAGTTGTCAGGATAGGGTAGGCAGAATCTAACTGGCAAAGTTCTCTTCTGTAGTAGTAGATTAACAGCTCAATGCTGTGACTACTAGTGAAGCTCCAGGCCCCTATATTTGTATCAGCTGATATCTCTGGATGTTCTCCAAGGGCAACCCCAGGTAAAATGAAATGCAGTGGCCCAACTAAGATATAATAAGGCCATCCTTGGTACATTTAACAGAGTCTCCATCCAACCTCTCTCCTATGTAACCACTGAGTGGATCTGCTAATTCAAAAAGGAGCAGATCCACCATAATACAATGCCTCCAACTCTTAGTGAGAACAGTGACATATATGGAAAGACACTGTAGCTTATGGTATTGAATGCCACGAAAGGGTCCAGAAAGATATCTGGAGGAATGGTGATGCTCCCTCCAGGTCCCACTACGAGTCTTCCATGGGAGTATGGCAATCCTTTCTGAATTTTTTTTCTTACTTGCTTTTTTTTTGTCTCCTCCTTTTGACAATTTCTACCACCTGTTCTGATATCTTGTTTTTTTTCTGTTTCTTGGCAGTCTCTTTTCACAGTCATCCGTAAATCTTCTTTTACTACATTCCTCAAGTTTCTCTAATTCCCTATCAGTGGAGTTCAGGATTTCAAAATTGTTTCTCATGTTCTCCTTAAAAATGAGGGGTATATGCTTATTATCAAATTGTGGAAGCAAGCTCACTTCATTCTTCTGCTTTACCTTGATGTGGAATTTGCACATGGGCAGTTCATGATCTGTTCCATAGCCATTCCCTATTCACATTTTTATTTTTATAACTGAGCTTCACCTTTTTGTTTCAGTAATATAAGTCAACTTGATGTCTGTGTGATCCATCTAATGTGATCGCACTGTTTTATTTCTGAAGATTATCTTCTTTATAATTATGGAGAAATAATTGGATTGGTAGAAATTGGTAAGTCATCTAGATCATCCAGCTAGCTTTGTACCTAAAGCAGGACTAGAACTCATGGCCTTCCAGTTTCTAGGCTGATGCCTGAACCATGACAGCAAACTAGCTTTTGAGGAGCCCATTATCCAGCACTATATTATCAGTTATTTTATCTTGTCTGTCAGTGTGGTTATCTTTATAAAATACAAGAGTGGTTTACTACTGCCTTCTGTGCAATTTGAAATGATGCCCTTGTCATTGTCATTAAAATGGTCATTCATCTCTAGCAGCTTTTAATATTTCTGCTGCCCGGTACAGGCCCTGCTTGCTTTACAGAGCAGCTGAGATGAATTTCATGCCTTGGTGAACCCACAAGGAGAATACACTTCATTCATCCCTCCCAGAAATATCCACCTAACCTGATGAGACATTTATGCAAGCTCTCTCAAACCAGACAGGGAAAGATCAATGATAATAATGTCTTCTCACTCTTCCTTCACCAGAAATATTGCAAAATACTTAATGTTTTAAAAAAGAAACTCAAAATCCAGCTTGCTAAATTCAATTTCACTAGGGAATGCCAGGGTAATAATTTAATATGCCTTGCAAAAAAAAAAAAAAATCCCTGAAGAGATCTGTTTTCTGTCCATCTACCTGCATGTAACAATACTGGTTCTTTCGGTTGTCTGTATTCAATTCTTTCTCATTGAAGGCAAGTAGGTGGGTACTTTTCATTTCATAGTGGCAGTTACTATAAATTATATTTCTGCGTGTAATTGTACAGTTCCTGTTTCAAAATAAATTTAAATTAATAAGGTAATATGTGAAATCCTACAATAAATGGGACTTGTTCTTAGATGAGTGTAGGGATTCCATTTTCCTAAAATAATGTTAGGGTCTAGGGGACTTGTGCAGTTATCCAGAATTGAATTCGATTCAGGGGCACCTAACTAACCACATGCTATATAATTATATTGCCAGGTGTCCAGAGTCCATCAAGCCAGAAACCGTCCGTCAGTGCCCGCTCCCATGTAAGAAAGATTGTGTAGTGACCCCCTTCAGTGAATGGACACGCTGCCCTACCACCTGCCAACATGGTAAGCTGGTCTAGCAGAGTCAGAATAAATCCTCCATCTGTTTCATCATACCTGAACTAATACTAACAAAGTTTTGGATCAGAAGCCAATTTTGGAATGAAACTCTAAATGGGCACCTGGATCTTGTTTATCATGTTTTGGTGCCTGTTATAAAATGAGTGTGTCTGACCTTAGCACTTACCAAAGATTTCACAAGAGTTGTTAGGAGTGCTAGGCTTTGGCACGTATTCTACTAACAGTTTTTATTAGAGGAAAGCACCTAGCATATATGTTGTATGCTTTTGTTATGTTCCTCCTAGGGAATATCAAGGTGATTTGGTGAGAGGACATAGTGGCTTTAATGATCCTAAAAATAATATAAATGGGAGTGAGAGCTCTCGGTCAGATCTCCCTTTGCAGTAAGGATGAAATGAGAAGGACAAAGCTAAAGATTACACCACAAGAGAAAGGGAGGGCAGATGAGGATCTGCATGCAAGAGGGAAGCCAACTCACTGATGACAAAAATCTTCAAAGGCAAGTGCAGAAAAAAGGCAATGGCTGAAACATATAAACAAGGTTGCATGTCAGGTAATAAGACAGTCAGGTTAGATGGCACTCTTATTGTTACTGAATAGTAACTTCAACAACAAACTTTGTAAGCAGATCTAGAGGTAACCATATGCTGAGACCAAAGCCACAAAGAATTTCGGCCACTGGTAATGTCAGAAAACTAATTCCTAATTTGATAAGGATATATATAGTTGGATCAGGAAGCATGACTCAGTGACAATTTACATTTATCAAAACAGAAATGAAACATACTAAATAGAATGTTTTAGAATAAGTGATCTCAGGTAGCTGATGGACCACTTCAAATGAGATGATTACATTATATACTCTTTAGGGCATGAAACCATATGAAAGAAGGGAATGACATTAATATTAAAAATATGGCATAGCTAAGGATGTACTTGGCACTAAGCCAATAAATTATAGGTTCATAGATGTTCAAGTCAATGGAACTGAAGGGTACTGTATGTATCTAGTACAGATATGACGGTAGAAGATAATGGGGCATTCTATGGCACATTGAAAGAAGTGCAACTACAACATCAAGCAAAGATGTAGTACTGCTAAAAGGTGATTAGAATTCCAGAGTTGGAAAAATGGAAGCTTCTGGAATTATTGTACAGAAAGATTTGATTAGGTAAATGCCTCATAGGAATTAGGAGACAAACCAAGACACTTCCAGGTTAAATTGTGGTACAAACTATTCATTGTTTGTATCAAACACTTGGTTAAATTTACAAACTTAAAGAAAGTAGGAATGCTAGCAAGATTTGAGTCATAATGTCAGTTCAATTTAAAGAACAGAACCTGAGATGCTATGCAAAGAGATCATGGGCACCATGAAAACCCAATATAACAAAATAAACCCCAAAGTTTCAAAGATGAAGAGATTTTAGTAGGTTTTTTTAAAAAACTCGAAAGGTTAAGGAAAGACTTGGTGATTGGGCCAGGACATACAATTAAGTTCAGGCTTCCAGTTCATGCAAGAAAGGGCTAGACTAGGAAAAATACCTCAATACTGTAAAAATAAAAAATAGCAATTATTGCTATTGGTTTAAGAAACCACAGGGTTTAAGAAACCACAGGAAAATAGTTCTACATAAGGTAGAAATATTCAGTAATAAATATGGAAAAGTTCTAATAGAAACAAATAAGATTAAAGGAAGATGAAAACATTATGCTGACACAATTTAGAAGTAGAAGTATATAGCATTTCTCTACATAAACATTTTTAGAAAAAGGAATATATTTAGGAACCAATTCCTTTAGAAAGTGAGATATGAAAGCCCAGCTGTCAGTAAGGAAGTAATTATGCAAATAAAATAACTGTACTTGTTTGAAACTGCAAGAAAAGAGGCAATTCAAGTGTTAACAGTTCTAGGTCACTAAATATAGGTTTGGAGTAGATATTCTACCATAAAAGGGAAATTTGAGAGAATACACAGATTACTGAATCATCACAGAAACTCTCATGCAAGCAAACTTTCACATAAGATCTTAACGAAAAAGAGAGAGATGCCAAATGCACAGTTATTTAAAAAGGGAGAGAGAGGTGCAGTCCAAATGTTAACACAAGAATAGGTAATGGAGAGAGCAAAAGGAGGTTTATTTTTGCTTCATGTGGTGCATTAAGTCCTTTGATTGTGTGGATCAGGGTTTTTCCAACATGGCAACTTTAAAACATTTTAAAGTTGCCAGGCTTGAAAAATACTGTTGGAGATAATGTCTGACACAGAATATATTAAGTCTAAAGGTGTGCCAGAACACATAATTATTCCTCTGATGAATCTTTTCATTGAATAAGAAGCTACTGTTCGAACTAAACTTGGAGAAACAGAATAAGGAAGGGAATGAGACAGGGGTATATCTTGTCACCGTATCTGTTTAATTTATGCAATGAATATATTACCCAAAAAAAGGCAGGATTTAAATAGATGACAGCTGAAATCAAAACTGGAGATGACAGTGCTTTGTTAAAAGAAAATAAAGAAGACGAAGAAGCGCTTATTCTAAAAATAAAAATGGAACGTGAACAATGGAGGTTAGTTTTCCAAATTTGGAAAGCAAAAGTAATCTTAACCCAGAGGCTCAGTGAATTCTGCTGGTTGATAGCAAAGAAGTGAAGGTTGATAGAAAATTTTGTATTCTTAGGTTCAAGAATAAAGATGGAGAGTGAGATGGAAAAAATTAAATCTGAGATTAACCCTAGTGATATAGAACAAGTTTAACTTTAAAAACATCATGAGGAATAAAGACATATTTATGACTACAAGGTACAGAGTAGTTAAAACTATAGTTTTTCCAATGGTATTGTATGATTATGAAACCAAAAGGTTCAAAAAAGAGTGTGAAAAAATAGGTAGAGGATTTTGATATGTATCTGGAGATGGTTACTATCATGGACTGGAAGGAAAACCAGTTAATGATACCAGATCAAACAAGCATAACTTTTTCCTTGGTAAATCATCAGTCCACAGAAGCTCACATTTTTAGGGCATGTAATATCAGCGGATGCTGAACTAGGACAAAATTATTATTCCTAACAAAATTGCTTAAAGAAGAAAAAGAAGGCAACCGATTGGGTAGATGAACAGGATCAAGGAGATTACAGAATTCTCTTTGTAAGAGCCACAGGGTATTATTAGAAAGAGGTTGAAATAGCAGGCATTTGGCCATGGAGTCTACAAATAGCCAAGTTACCTACTTGCATTTCAATGAAAAATCCCTTCTTAGTAAAGCCTTTGAAATATGAGAAAACCTTCAGAGAGAAGCTTTTTGCCCTGCCAAGGTAGAGATTTCTTTGCCCTCCTTCCAATCCATAGTATGAGCTGTTCAGGCTGCTCAGATGCCACTATTTCAGAAAAATTGCAAGCTACCTGCATTCACATCTAGTTTGTCACAGACTGATAGCTGTGAAAGCAGCAGTTTCTACGATTATTTCTCCTGCTGCCTGATGTTTTTCCCATTGGCACAAATTTTACACGTTTATAGCTGCTGTAAAGTCAGATCTTCAAGTTAAACTCGATTCCTGGTGACTTCATGGATACATATTCAGTACTAACCTGCATTTCATACTATTTCCTTCCTTGTCCCAGTTCTTTAAAATCTACTGTGAGTTTATCTTAGCAGTAGGCAAAGCACACATACTTTCTATTCATGCATCTTGATTTAATGTTTGGAGAGGAATTGTCACTACAATTTGACTAAATCTTCTCTACATATAATTAAAGTTAGAGAATTTGATTCCCAGTGATTAGAAGATATATCTATTTATTTAAGGTGAAGAGAAATATGGAAGTGGTTTCCCATTGAATTCCTTTTGCATTTTTTTTTAAATGTCTCAGCGTAGGAATCTCTGGAGGTTCTCATTCAGATACAAACCAAGCTCAACCCTCCTTAGCTTTTAAGCCCAGTGTTCCACTTAATGTGACAAAATGTAACTTATCACCCTTGCTCTCAGCTGGATGGTTGAGTTAATTGTGCTGAAATCATAATAGGTGGTATGAAAGATTGAATAGATTCTAAAGATGAACTAGATATTCTTAGATAGCTGACTTAGCTATCTGAATGTATAAATTCAGATTTGAGAAAGCTGAAGTTTTCCCTGGTATTAAGATGTATCCTGACATTCATTGTTGGGGGGAACCTCATAGTAATGTTATAAAAGTAAAAGTAAGCTGTGGCTAAGTTTTGTTCTCTTCCCACGTGTACCTCAGAAGAGATTTAACAGCAAGGTTATCTTTGGAAATAGCACATGGCAAAGTTCATAACTTAGAAAAGATTTTATCTGAACTCAACATTGCACCATCTCTCTACTTACTCCAAACAATAAAACACATTCCCTCTCTGAGAAAGGACTTCTTACCATATTTTTCCAGTATCTAGTGCAATATACTTTTTTTTTTACGCTGATATAAAGCTTTTTGTAATATGGAATTCTATTTTTGCTTGTTTGAGACTGAGATTCTGTTTATTCTCATCTTTGCTCGCATTCATTTTACTTGCTTGTGAATGGCAATGGTATTATATTATAAGGGGGAAAAATCCTAGTCCATTTAAAACAAGGGATATAATATGGTAATTAATTAATTAAATAACATAAAATATATGTTATTTAGATAAAGAAAATGAATTCAGACATACATTATTCTGCTTATTAAGAAATTTTGTAGCATCCAACATCATATTTAATTTCATTGGAATAGTTATCATTTAATATGATTCTAAATTAAAATTGAGTGGTAAGGATTGTGTTATGCACTAGATTTACTTTTGATTTGCTGTTTTGTGAGTTCTTTAATTGATGCTGCACAATTAAAAGCGCAGGACAATTGGAAATTTAGAAAACCACTCAGGGCAAATGTATCTAAATTAAACAGAAAAGGTTATTTAACAAATACATAAACCACTGGGTGGCTAAGCTGCAAACATAATCGTGATCAAGTTTTAATTTAACAGTGATAAACTGAGTATCTGCAAAAATAATGGCAGCTTAAGCAAACAACATTGAAAGTCACATCAGATATTGGCAGCATTTTGTTAGATAAAATTTGAAGAGCTGAACTGGGCAATTGGTGTCCATCTTTTCCATCTATTGCTTGCCCTGCAGTTAAATGTCAGCAAAATGACAGCTTTCTATCATGCCATGTTGTGTGCTTAAGGTATTCAGAGATATCGGGAGGCAAAAATTAAAAATGAAATACAGGAAGTGCTTTAGTTCTCTTCTATCTAGTCTATTCACTTTGCTTAGAAATGAAATAATCTGGATCTATTTAAATTTATTCTGAGCAAAGTACTGCTCATACTTTTGCCACTGAAATGCAGAGCGGTTTAATGTAATAGGGTCTTTGTTAAGAAATATTCAGGAAATATTCGAAGAACTAGAGAAAAACTGGAGAACAAAGTGGTATTATTTAACTAAACCTTAATATTCAGAGTTAATTTCTGTTGAGTTTCATTAGCCAAGAAAATCTGTCTTAAGTGGATTGCTGGTGCTTTTTTGCAGAATTAGAGATAACCCAAATACATAAAATGGATCTTTCTTTATTTTCTTTGAATACCTATTCCATGGAGACAAGGCCTTTCTATACTGTAAGAAATCAGAAGGAGCAAAATAATGATTCCAGACCCCACACATTCCTTTTTCTCTTTTTTCGTCTTCTGCTGTAACATATTTGCCCACCAGATGCTTCTTTCAAATAATTTCATGTTGAGCCACCTCTGTGCAAATAAATACTGTGAACCTGAAAATGGTCACTGATGTTTTATGGTGGCATGGTGGCGCAGTGGTTAGAATGCAATACTGCAGGCTAATTCTGCTGACTGCCGGCTGCCAGCAGTTCGATCCTGATGAGGCTCAAGGTTGACTCAGCCTTCCATCCCCCCAGATTGTTGGGGGCCATATGCTGACTTTTGTAAACTGCTTAGAGAGGGCTGTGAAGCACTGTGAAGCGGTATATAAGTCTAAGTGCTGTTGCTATTGCTACTTGATGAACTGCTATGAGAGTAGGAAGGGCAAGATTGGCTGTAGAGAGACTCTTCCATAATCAGCTCTTTTTTGAACCTGATCCATTGGAGTAAAGAATTGTCAAAGTTGCAGCAAATAAAAATTATATAATATTCTTTATTAAAAGGAATGCAGGTAGTCCTCAGCTTACAATCATTTGTTTAGTGACCATTTGAAGTTGAAACGGCACTGAAAAAAAGTGACTTGTGGCCATTTTTCACACTTAACGACCATTGCAGCATCCCCGTGGTCACAGAATCAAAATTTGGATGCCTGGCAACCGGTTCATGTTTATGACGGTTGAAGTGTCCCGGGGTCATGTGATCCCCTTTTGCAACCTTCTGACAAGCGAAGTCAGTGGGGAAATCAGAGTCACTTAACAACTGTGTTGCTAGCAAAGTCATAAAATGTTGGGCTCAATTGTGGTCATAAGTTGAGGACTACCTATATAACTGAAGACTGAAGTAAGTGAGATACTTCAGAAATAAAAGTGAAGATCAGTGCTGTGCAAAATTAACTATCCTTGATAGAAAACCATTTTATATCCTTAAAAAAAAAAAAAAAACCGCAGGGAATGCCACTGCAAAAAAACAGTCCCGCTACAGGATCATCATTCAAGATGCAATTAATGGAGGGTCAGAATGCCCGGACACCTTATTTGAAGAAAGAGAGTGTGAAGGCATCCCACTTTGTCCCACTTACAGGTAAAGTAAGAAAGCATCCCTACACATATGATTTGCCAGACTGTCATTCCTCAGATCACCAGTGATGTACTTGCTTCTGCACAGATTTAGAAAAAGCTCATCTCTGTTCTTCATTGAAGCCACCCCTTTACTTCAAGGCCTCTGTCTGAATGAAGTGGATACCTTAAAGCAGTAGCATCTTTTTCTTACGGTTGTGCAAAATATTTAAAAATCACAAGAGAGCCAAAGCTTTGCTTCCACATTGTTTTCGAAATATGTTCAGCCCTATTTATTGCCCTATTGGGACAATACATTATTTTGATTGACGGTGTAATAATATACCTGGGTCTCTAGCAATATACTATGGTGTACAGTAATATACCTAAGTATATAATAATGTACTGTTATTTATAAATGTACTATTATACAACAAGGTTCAGAGATTCAGAGAAAAGCTGATCTGATCTTGAATCAAATCAAAATTACCCTTTCAACATGGATCTCTGGCTGACATGAGATGCAAAAAACCCCTGAATCTTATCCAATGGAGGGAATCCTACATATTGTTCTAACTTTAGAACTTTATTTGGAACTCAAGGTTGAACTGTGGGGTCCATGGTGCTCTCTGAGTTTAGTTGTTTTCTTCCAGACATTTTATTACCCAATAAGGTAACATCCTCAGTGCAGTAACATTTCATTATCCAACTGGGTGACATCATCAGTGCTACTGATGATGGGTAATAAAATTGGGTAATAAAATATTTGGAAGAAAAAAAAACCAAGCTTGGAGACCACCAAAGATTTCACAGTTGTAACTTTGATTTTATTTCATAAATGAATAGAACAGCCTCTACATAATTCATCCCTTGGAGGATGTGATCCTTACCCAATTCTTATTTTTACATTTGACAAGATGACAAAAGGGAGCATATGAGTCAAGGCTTTCCACAGCTTCTTATAATTTACACTTATTAAAGTGCAATATTTTATGAATGCAAGTACTTATTCTGTTATCGTTTACCTAAGTTAATGAAACTAATAAGTAGATTAAATAGTTTCGGTCCTAACATGAAGATTCTCTTTGAAAACTAAAATACTCAAACAAACAAACAAAAAATACTTTGAAATACGGCCCACTTACATACTATACAAGTCTCCAGGGTCCATTTTTATTATTGTATTTGAGTCTGTTTTTGTACATTAATGTTACTACCTTGCATTGGGGTATTCTAATTAACACCTAACTTTGAATTTTAGAATCAACATTAATGTTCAGGATCCAACTATGGGCATTGTTGACCTTTTGTCTAGAATGAATCACTTTTGATATAAAATTTAATACAAAAATTAGTTTTTAACCTAACCCTAACCTTATAATATGTGCTTCAACATTCAGGTCTTCTTTTTAAGGCCCTGAATCCAGATACAACCAAGCCCTCAAAGAAGCAGTCTTTGGCATTTTAAAATTGTTTTCATCATTTAATTCTAAAGTGGAGGAGTTTCTCTATAATTCTATTAGAAATAATGAGGGGGAATTGCTGAAACAATTGTGACATATGTCCAGTTACTCTCAAGCATCATGTCACCAGCCATTGCTATAATAATAAGTCATGACATATCAAATGCTACAATAGGGCCACTGATATCCCTAATTGAATAAACTAAGTTGTTATAGGTGGACCCTCTAATTAAATTGTGTGAAAAAATTCAGAACCAGCAAAAGAAATTAAATCTGATGTATCATAACTGTTCTTCTGTTATCATTTCAGTTGGAAAGTCCACAAATGGAATCACTGCTTATTGGTGCCTGATTCAGTAAGGCAAGGTGTATTGGGAATCAATGAGGCATGTGGGCCCGGTTTGCAATCAAGAGGTAAGAGTTCATAAATAAATTTTGTTGGCCTTTATTCTCTAATTTCTCATGGCACCTAATATTTTGCTAGATGTGAATGGTATTTTACAAGATCATTTCAGAGTAGCTAAAAGTGATCTGCCCCTTTCAGTCACTTATGAACAAAATAATGACAGCAACAAAGGACTACATTATGTACTTACTGTAATTAAAATACTCTGAATGTGGCTTATTATGATTAATTACTCATATTTCACATGATAAATCTTGGCCTCAATTATCGTTACACAATTGATTTGACAAGAGAGATGCGAGATATAGCTGAATGATCCTGACAGTACTTTCAAAATAGATCAGACTAGGAAATCAAAGTCATGAATGTAATGTTAATTTTGTTATAATGTTACAGTAACAGAATCTTGCAAGTCTGAATGTGCTTGACCCATCCCTTCCTTTATTTTCCTGAGAACCATGGAGAGTCCTGTCTGAAACCCTTACTCGTATTACACTTCTGCCCCAGACTCAGATTGCTTTTTACCTGATCATTGTCTTGGTAGCATGTTTCTCAAGATTATTCCTCCTGCCCATTAGAGATGCAAGAAAAATGTAAACACAATACATTGACACTTATATCTGACTCCACAGGCAGAAAATAATCCCACTTCACGATGAAAGTTGCTGTCCTGACTGCTTCTCCAGATTCTATCATTAAGTATCAGGACTTCAACCCGTTGGTTCCTAGTAGTCAATGAATCACCCTGAATAGATGACAATAGATTAACATAATAACAGCAGAAAAGTACTGTCAGTTTGCCACTTTTATCATCACTGTTTAATCTTGAACATAAGCTTTTACCTGTGCTTGTTAGATCTACTTTTCACCTTGTTCTATCAGTCTTCCTAATGTCTCCCCTGCTATTTTATGTCTCTGAGGACCTTGCAAAACCAAGGTGGTTCCAGGACTTGCCAGCAGGAACAAGCTGCTTGGGAGCTATCTGATCAAGCTCCTATATCATTTCTTGATACTAGAGGTCCATTATGTGCTCACAGAGCTGCCCACTAGAGCGCTGAGAAAATACCCAGGTGCCCACTGGAATTTATCTAGTTCCATAAAATGCCTGCAGTAAATCATTCTAACAGATGTACCTATTCCATTAAAGTTCCAAGCACTGAAAAATCACAGCTGGATCAAGGAATGAAGCCAGTCTAATGACCTCGGTATCCAGCTCACATATCAGTTGCTCTGAAGCAAAGATTAAACGAAGCATATGTGCATTAGATGAATTCCAAAATACTTGGCTAAGCCCAGGTGCTTCTACAGCAAAGAAATATTCCATTAAAATGACAAAATGTACACAAATATTTTAAGTGCAAATTCTGCCCCCCTCCCCCCAGTTCTTGGGTGTGAATAACAGAATTAATGTTGCAACATTGTGTTGTGTGTTTTGCTAGTTCTCCCCTCTGGAGATGCCAATAGAAAAGTTTATAGTTGCCATGAAGATCATGTACTCCTTCAACTTCCAAGATCCCATGAGCTCATGGCACAGAGTTTAAAGTTCCTAAGTACCCAGAAGTGGGAGGATTCCAGTATCAAAATCCTAGAAAGATCTAAGACAGCAAATCTTAAATTGCTTTATCCAATTACCCCTTTTTGCCATTCTCAAATAACGTCATTAGCTCTCAACTGCTCAAAACCAAACTCTGTTGTTTTACATGTTTGTTTTGACACCAAAATGAGTCCTCAGCTCACAAACAAGCAAACACAAATTGCTCCATTATCTTCAGGATATGCCCCAATTGTCCCCAGTTTAAGAACTCCTGGCCTAGGACCTCAGAAAGAGATCCTGCCAGGCAACAAAGTAGCCAATACAGGTAATCCTCAAAGTACAAAACTAATGGAGCCTGCCCATTAGGCTCGTAAGTCAAAAAAATTCAGCAAATGAATCAAATGAATTTTACAAATTTTTAAAATCAAATTCATTAATTGAATCAAATGGGTCATTAAATGAATGATGATCTGACTTACTATTTCCTCGTTGGCTACTACCTGAACTGAGAGGCTTTCCTGCTACTACCGGCTGCCCGTCAGCTGTTTCTGGTGCAGCCTTCAGTTCAGGAACTAAATTGAAGGCAGCAGCAGTCACATGCTACCTAGCTTTTGATGATTGATCCATTAAATATTTTAGCTCTCCAGTCCTCAAGTCCAGGCAGCAGCAGATCTTCCACGGGGCACCAAAAAATAAAAAACAAACGGTCGGTGCCAGCTGCAAAAATCACCAGACCTTGTTTGGTCATGTGATCAGGAACAAAAAACCAAAAACCCTTCCGGCTTCAGGAAATTGCATTGGTAACCCAGGCAAGTCACAGAGTTAAAAATGGCCTCCACTTTAGCAGTAACTGAATCAAGTCAAATGGCTGCAGAGGCCTCTTTTTGCTTGCAGTTTTGAATTTCTAATGTACCGTATTTTCCGGCATATAAGGCGACCCAGGGTATAAAACGATCCCGACTTCGGCACCGAGTCACATGCCTAGAAAGTTGTCTTATATGCCGGAAACTACCGTTATTTCCAGCGTATAAGACGACTCAGTGTATAAGATGACCCCCGACTTCGGCACCGATTTCAACGCTCTCAAAAGTTGTCTTATACGCCGGAAAGTACGGTAAGTACTCTTTCTGAATAAATTTGTTTTTGTGAAAACTTGCTAAATGAATGTTGGTACCTAGGGGATTATCTGCATATGCAGAGGATAATTACTCATACAAACAAAATACTGTAAGGAAAGAGAATCACAATCCAAGTAACCTAGATATCAACAGTTATAGTTTTGGCTTTTATGATGAGCAGCAGCAAAAGTACAATATAGGATCTGTAGAAAAGTGTATACTAACTAAAGTATGTAACTAAATAAATACTTTAGGATAATGCTGAAAACTAGAAAATAAAGCTATACTCAAAATTAGATTGGAGAAATATACATGTGTTGAAACATCATTCCCAGATTTATTTCCCTTCCTATTTACTATATGATTTGTCGGTGGTGATTTATTTTCCCAATAGATTTATAAGCTGTTTAGATACATTATGAAAACTTTAAACCCTCTAATAAGACTTAAAGGTTTAAGATTTGCTATCTTCAAAATAAAATAAACCAGAATCCCAAAACAAATACTCCTAAATTTTCCAATGTGATGTTTCAACATTTTCCTTTGTGATTTGCACTTATTTTGAAAAAGGAGTAGTTATGGATATTTATTGGAGAAAAAAAATACATAAACAATTTATATTTGATAAATCAATGCTTTGTTTTTTTAGTTTAATGGCAATCGCACACAAGGTAGGTATATGGCATACAAAGAACTTCAGAATTGTTTTGGGTTCTCCTGGTAGAAGATTTGAGAAAAAAATGATACCATAGCCATGAGATTTAAAAAAAACAAAAACCTACATTTAGGACAGTAGAATATCTAATTAAGTATTTAAGATTTATTGTACATTAAGAAGATAAAATCTATAATATCCTTCCTTCCTCCTTCCCAAGATGCCATGTGGGACAGGCAACTAGATTGTAAAGGGTGCCCAAGAAGATATAAGAAGTGTTGTATGGATCAAGTTGTGTCCTTAGGGTGGTGCAAGTAAAGAAGATTCCATGGGTGTCACAGAAGTGTGGACAAGATGCTGCACTGGTCAGGCCCATTTGAAGTACCTCAATTCCAAAATTGTTCTCTTACCCTCACCATTTTGCCCAGTTAAAGGTCATGACAATGAGAGTTTTAGTAGTATATAGATACTTTATAAAATATGATATCAAATATACTACTCTGTTTATTTAATGAGGGATTTATATCCTAGCTCAAAGCATCTTAGCCCAAGAGCTGGTACCTATCACTCCCGCACCCATTTTTTCCCCCTGCAATAATCACCCTTTATGATAGGTTGAAGTGAGATGGGAGAAAGTAACTGGGCTTAGTTACCAAATGAACTTTCTTGGCTTAGAATAGATCCTTGGATCTCCCTGATCTCATCTGACATTGCAATCACTATCCCAGAGATGGGGTGTTTTGTTGTGTTTTTTGGAAACATCTCTAACTTGAAAGGGAACTATTATTTTCTGTGAAAGCCTAGAATGCAAAAGTTAACTAGAAAGAATAGATAATAGTTTTCAAAGGAGGAATGAAAGACCCTCACTTCCCTGGTTTAATATCAAAGTTTTAAACAGCACATGAATGTTTGTACATTCTGTTTTATAGATCTTATGATAACACTCCCAACATTTGTGGTAGGACAGACAAGCTAATCTAATGCATTGGGAGCTGTTGGGAGCATAGAGGTCGGTCTCTGTCCAACAGAGCATTTACCACTGCCTGTTTGTTTTAAGTCTGTTTGTTCGAATTGCAAGCTGGGCAGGCCGCCCTCCACTTTCATTGCAAATGAAATAAAGCCACCCTGCTAGTACAATTATTAGAAATAAATTAGTACTCATCACAGTTGTTTAATGTTGTGTTAAATATTATACATATTCTTATTTGCACATTATAGGAGTTTGAAAACATAAGGAGGCAGCGAACTATTTAGGCCCTAGAGTGCAATGTTTTGTTTTGCTTTCTAGCCTCTTCTTTTCGTATCAAATGCTTAGTACTCCCTCTGCTTTAAATTAAACTAAAATTCCTTATGGATGCCACAATTGGCGAAGGATTTACCGTGCAACCATATTTATGTCTGCTAAGAAGTAAGTGGATTTCACTAAGTGGGAGCATCAAATGTTCTGCCATGGGTTGAATACATTGTAATAAGACCCAAATAATAAGTGTGCTATTTTCCACTACTTAAGGGAATTGTGCTTATTTAAACAGACCCCCTATACATTTAGGCTCCTTTGGACTTTGTGTAATTTGCTATTATGTATTCATATAAGTTATCATGCATACACAAAATTGTAAAACTGCAGTGTGCAATTTAGGCCTTTTGTTTAATCTTGAAATTAACAAATGCATTATCAAATTCTAAAGAGTAGTGATTATA